TCCTGGCTTTGGCCTGCCCAGCCTCTGCCAATGCAGCCATTTAGGGAGTGAACTTAATGGATGGAAGATCTCTCTCACTCTCTCTCTCTCTCTCTCTCTCTCTCTCTGTAACTCTTTCTAATAACTAACTAAATAAATAAATAAATCTGGGGGAAAAAAAAAGTACCTCATACAAGAAAGGTAATTTTGACAAGTAGCACTAGGCCATAGTAGAGATAAGTCTGCCACCTGCTGACAGAAAAACTGAACTGTATATACTTTCCTGATGGTGAGAAAAATATAAAACCTACAGGGCAAGATTTTATATATCTACATTTCAAATAAACTGTTAGAAAATGTAAATTGCAACTTCTAATTTAAAAAAATTATGTGAAATCTGGATTATTTTAAAAGTAAAAAATCAGGGGCTGGTGCTGTGGCTTAGTGGGTAGGCCGCTGCCTGTAGCACCAGCATCCCATATGGATGCCAGTTCAATCCCAGCTGATCCACTTCAGATCCAGATCCCTGCTAATGTGCCTGGGAAAGCAGCAGAAGATGCTACACCCATGTGGGAGACCTGAAGCTCCTGGCTTCTGCCTCGCCCAGCCCTGGCTATTGCAGCCATTTGGGGAATGAACCTGCAGATGGAAGATCTCTGTGTCTTTCTTTCTCTTTTCAAATAAATAATTCTTTAAAAAAAAAAAAAAGTAAATATGGAAATCATTTAACAAAATCATATAGGGAATCTTCAAAGAACTATGAAAATTAAGAACACAAAACACTTTGCAAAAATTATAAAGTCCTACAGGTTCATTTCAGCTCTGTTATCCAGGTCTTTCCTGTCTTCCTCTTTCTACTGCTAGTTTACGGGCTCATTGTCTTTAACCCTGGATGCTCCCCACTTAGTGTGTGCTCGGCTCATCTACCAGTTTCATCCTACTGAAGTGTACTCCAGCTTCTATCACTTACATAAAACACAACACGCTGGGCCAGCGTTGTGATGTACAGGGTAAGCCACTGTACTAACTGCCTTCAAACAAATAAAATAAATCTTAAAATACATACACAAACACACACCACATACAGCACTCAAGGACTCTTCAGCAAAATACAGATAATATAATAAAGATGTGTGGCGCGGAGATTTGGTGCAGTGGCTGAAATGATGCTTGGGAGACCTGCACCCCATACTGGAATGCCTGGGTCTGAGTTCTAGCTCTGCTCTCTTCTCTGGATCCCAGCTTCCAGCTGATGCACACCCTGGGAGGCAGTAGGTGATGACTTAAGTAGCTGGGGCCCTGCCACTTTATGTTCCCAGCTCGTGGTTTGGCCCAGGCCAGCCGCTGCTATTACAGGCATTCGGAGAGTTAACCAGCAAATAAGAGACCATTCATTCATTCTCTTTCTCTCTCTCTCTCTCTCTCTGCCTTTTAAGAAAAACAAAACATTTCACAATGTAGTCCCAACACACTTTTTAAAAATCTTATTTACAAAAAAAGTTGATTAAAAAATATAAAACATATTCATGATTATTTTAAAAGGTACGTGGGGGGTCAGTACTGTGGCATAACAGATAAAGCCGCCACCTGCAGTGCTGGCATCCCAATAGGTGCTGGTTCGAATCCCAGCTGCTCCACTTCCGAACCAGTTCTCTGCTATGGCCTGGGAAAGCAGTAGAAGATGGCCCAAGTCCTTGGGCCCCTGCACCTGCGTGTTAGATCCAGAAGAAGCTCCTGGCTTCGGATTGGCACAGCTCCAGCCGTTGTGGCCAACTGGGAAGTGAACCAGTAGATGGAAGACCTCTCTCTCTCTCTCTCCCTCCCTTTTCTTCTCTGTGTAACTCTGACTTACAAATAAATAAATCTTAAAAAAAAAAAAAAAGTACAAAATGTTAAAGCAAAGAAAGGTTGAAGTCCTCTTTTCCAGTTTCATCTGTCCACTGTCACCAGTAACGATTATAAACAGCTTCTAATGTATTTTTTATAAAGATTTACTTATTTATTTCAAAGGCAGAGGTACAGAGAAGGAGAGACAGAGACAGACACAGGCGGATCTTCCATTCTCTGGTTTATTCCCTAAATGCCACAATGGCCAGGACAGGGTCAGGCCAAAGCCAGGAGCTTCATCCAGATCTCCCAGATGGGTGCAGGGGCCCAGGTAGTTTGGCCATCTTCCACTGCTCTCTGAGGCACTAATATTAGCAGGGAGCTGAATCAAGGTGGAGCAGCAGGATTTCAAACTAGCACCTATATGGGATGCTGGTATTGCAGGCAGTGGTTTAACCTACTACGCCATAACACCAGCCCCCAAAATAAAATTTTTTAAAAAAATTTCCAATAGGCAGGCATTGTGGCACAGCAGGTGAAACCACCATATGGGATGCTAGTTTGAGACCCAGCTGCTCCACTACCAACACAGCTTGCTGCTAATGGCCTGGAAAAAGCAACTGAAGATGACCCACGCAAGTGTTGGAGCCCCTGCCTCTCATGTGAGAGACCTAGATGAGGCACCTGACTCCTGGCTTTGGTCTGGCCCAGCCTGACCCAGCCCTGGCCGTTGCAGTCACTTGCAGGGGAGTGAACCAGCAGATGGAAGATCTCCCTCTCTCTGTAACTCTTTCAAAAATACATACATAAATCTTTAAAACAGAATTTCCAGGACAAATACATGTGTATGAGAGAACACCACTGTCTTACAACTTGCTTTTTGTTCCCAGCCACTATCTTTTGATCTATTAAAAATGCTAACTCATACACATTTACTTTGTTTTTAGCAGCTGCAAAATATTTTAGAGTACAAATGCACAATGATTTATTTAAACAATATACACTGCCTTCAGCAGAGTAAATGAAAGTGCCCATTTTCCTACATCCTCGTCACCACTGTTCTCTTCACATAGCCATGGCCTAGCAGTTCCAATTTTGCCTTTGTGTGTAAGAAACTGCAAGCTTCAGGACATGGAGAATTTGAACTTTGCTGGGGTAAGCATTTCAATTCGTTACTTCAGGAGTTCTCAAACTTTCAAACAGATCAAAATCACTCCAACAGCTTGCTAAATCACATCATGGGACCCACGGGCTTCTAATTTATGGGGTGGGCCTAGGTAACTTGCATATCCAACAAGTTTCCCAGATATGCTGAGACCACTGGTCTGGGGCCACTCTTTGAGAACCCCCAGTGTAAAACACTAGCACATGGGACCATAAACTTGAAAACAAGGTTCTGCCCTTCTCTGCCCATCGTTACTTCTCCCTACATAACCAGCTTTTATAGGTCTTAGCCAGGTTGTACAAAATTGTTCTTTTATGCCTACTCCAACCCCTCAATTAATGGCTAGTGTGGAGAATCTATGGAAAGAAGGTAAAGGGAGGCCGGCACTGTGGCATAGTGGGTAAAGCTGCCGCCTGCAGTGCCGGCATCCCATATGGGCACTGGTTTGAGTAGTCCTGGCTGCTCCACTTCCCATTCAGCTTCCTGCTAATGGCCTGGGATGGCAGTAGAAGATGGCCCAAGTGCTTGGGCCCCAGTACCATGTGGGAGACCCAGAAAAAGCTCCTGGCTCCTGCCTTCAGACTGGCCCAGCCCTGGCCACTGCGGTCATCTGGGGAGTGAACCAGAAGATGAAAGACCTTTCTTTCTTTCTCTCTCTGCCTCTGCCTCTCTGTAACTCTGCTTTTCAAATAAATTTAAAAAAAAAAAAAAATCTTAAAAAAAAAAAAAAGTAAAGGCATCTAAAGATGTAACAGCTTTTGGCTAGAAAAATAGTTTTGGATAAATTTGACATATTAGTATCCATTCAAACGTGGCCTTGTTACATAGAGTCACAACAAAAGGAATAAGAAAAATACTCAGAAATCTAACAGAGTCTAGAAGTAACTGTTTCTAGCTAACACAAAAACGGCTCATTAGGTAAGAGATCAAACCTTCCATTAAATTTGAAAAAGTGGTTAGCTTGTGGCATGAGAGTAATACCCAGGAAACAGGTGACAAATATAATTTGAAAGAACAAAGTCATTGGGGCACGCCCTGGCCTGAAGCGCCGCCATCCCATACGGGCGCTGGTTTGAGACCCGGCTGCTCCTCTTCCAATCCAGCTCTCTGCTATAGCCTGGGAAAGCAGCAGAAGATGGCCCAAGTGCTTGGGCCCCTGCACCCATGTGGGAGACCGGGAAGAACCTCCTGGCTCCTGCCTTCAGATTAGCACAGCTCCAGCCGTTGCAGCCATCTGGGGAGTGAACCATCGGACGGAAGACTTCTCTCTCTCTGCTTCTCCTCTCTCTGTGTAACTCTGACTTTCAAATAAATAAGTAAATCTTAAAAAAAAAAAAAAAGAAAAGAAAAGCTATGTATTTTTTAAAAAAAAAAATAAAGAGCAAAGTCATATGCTTGTTACAAACAGTTCCATATTTGAAAATCTGAGGATTCAAGATGATCTTTGATACATGCTTTGCCAATGTTAAAGTATTTCCCTTGTTTTACAATATATTTACAACACACTTATTCATTGAAAGTACTGGTAGAATGCTAGGGGTTTTTTTAAAAATATTTTATTTATTTTAAAGGCAGAGTTACAGAGACAAAGTGAGAGAGACAGAGGTCTCTTCCATCTGCTGGTTCACTCCCCAAACAGTTGCAACAGCCAGGGCTGGGCCAACCCAGAACCAGGAGTTTCATCCAGGTCTCCCATGTGGGTGGTGGCAGCCCAAGTAGTTGGGCCATCTTGGGCTGTTTTTCCATGAGTACTGCAAGGAACCGGCTACGCTACAGTGCTGGCCTCAGAACTCTTAGTTTTGAAGCTCAATGGGACACAATGGGAAATAGTTTCTAAATCTCACTAGAATATGTTGAAGGCGGTGGCCATGGCTCAAGAATTACTTAAAATCTAGATGTTTCACATGGGAGTGAATACACCTTCATTCTTGGGGTAGACAGAAGAAAAAAGCTATTCTGAGTTTGTGTTCTCTACTGCTATATACAAGCACCTAATTAACAAACTCTCTCTCCTTCTTTCTTACTATAGAATCTCAACTTTGCTGGAGGATGGTAATGTGCTCAACCAAAGAAAAAAAGCTTATCTTCACTTCTAGTAGGGTGGCGATACTACAGTTCTCCCCAACACCTCTAAGCACAATCCTGCTCTGCTAAAATAGCTCCTCCTTGCTTCCTCTCTTCTGCTGCCTGGAATGTGGGCATGTTGGTCAGGGCTACAACAGACATCCCATGACCGTGAGAAAAACCAAGAAAATGGCAGAGAGCTCTGTGGGGCAGGTGTTGGGGCGCAGCGGGTAAAGCTGGCGGCGTGTAACACTAGAATCCCACATAGGCTCCAGTTCATGTAACGGCTGCTCCACTTCTGATCCTCTCTGCTAATGACCTGGGAAAGCAGCAGAAGATGGCCCAAGTGTTTGGGCCTCTGCCATCCACATGGGAGACCTGGAAGAAGCTGCAGCCATCTGGGGAGTGAACTGATGGAAAATTCTCTGTCTCTCCCTCTCTCTGTCATTCTTTCAAATAAATAAATAAATAAATCTTTTAAGTTTCACAAAACAAATCAAGAATTCAATACAGGCCTTGAGCCCTGAAAGGTCATGAATCACAATTCTGACATATATTAGGTAAAAGATGTAGAGATTTTAAAAGCCTGAGAAAGCAATGGGGATGGCCCAAGTACCGGGTCCCTGATAACGGTATGGGGAACCAGGGTGGCTTCAGCCTGTCCCAGCCCCTGCTGTGACAGCCATTTGAGGAGTGAACAAGTGAATGGAAAATCTCTCTCTCCCTCTTGCTCTGTCACTCTGCCTCACAAATGAATAAAGTAGTCTTGGATTATAACTCAAACTGTAAAATAAATATCTGTGAATATATAAATAGGACTGCCTAAGTAAATACACAGGGGGAAACAAACTTCCCATGCAGAACTCCAAATAATGAATGTAGGTATTTCACCATTAACTAAGTGTGGACTTCTCATTGGCCCTTCCTGACAGACAGCACAGCATGGAAGACAGGAGAAGGGGAGCAATGCTGGAGAAACCTGACAAACACCATCTCAGCCAGGTGATCAAGGCTAAATTTGTAAGCCATGCAATAACCGCATGTCCTCGTGGTATTACATGATGAAAATAACACTTAACCTGCAATCTTCCTCCCCAAAATCTCTAACTCCAGTTAATCATGAGAAAAACTTTAGACAAATTTCAACAACAAGACATTCCACAAAATACTTGACCACAACAACTTAGAAGTGTCAAAGAACTATGCAAGGGAAGCCTGGCTGTCACAGCCAGGAGGAGATAAGGAGACATGGTGACTCAGTGTGAGGTGCGACCCTGCAGGGGATCCCAGGGCTGAGTAACACAAAGAAACTTGAATTGAGTATGGGCATTTAATAATGTCTCAATACTTGTTTATTAATTGTAATTAATGTACATTAATGTGAGGTGTTACTAACAGAGGACATTTTGGTGAGATATGTGAAAACTTTGTAGTGCAAATTTAAAACTGTTCTAAAATACAAAGTTTATTTAAGGGCCAAAGTTTTAGCTCAGCAGGTTAAACCTCCACCTGCAATGCCAGCATCCCATATAAACACCAGTTTGAGTCCTGGCTACTCTATTTCCGATCCAATTCCCTGCAAATATACCTGGGAAAGCAGCAGGCTTTCCCAGTGGAGTTCCTGGCTGCTGGTAGGCTTGGCCCAGCCCAGGCCACTGTGGCTATCTGAAATGAACCAGAGAACGCAAGATTTCTCTCTCTCCCTCTGCTCTCTCTCTGTAACTGCCTTTCAGGTAATTAAATAAACCTTCATAAAATTTTTTTGACTTAAAATTACCATGGGAATGGATGTCTGACCTAGTGGTTAAGACCTGGGTTTAAGTTTCAGCTCTGGTTCCTAATTTCAGCTTCCTCTCTGTGCACACTCGAGGAGGCAACAGGGGCTGGATCAAATGGTTGGGTCCTTGTCGCCCATTTGGGAGACCTGGATTGAATTCCTGGCTCCTGGCTGGCGCCGTGGCTCAATAGGCTAATCCTCCGCCTTGCAGCGCTGGCACACCGGGTTCTAGTCCCGGTCGGGGCGCCGGATTCTGTCCCAGTTGCCCCTCTTCCAGGCCAGCTCTCTGCTATGGCCTGGGAGTGCAGTGGAGGATGGCCCAAGTGCTTGGGCCCTGCACCCGCATGGGAGACCAGGAGAAGCCTTCGAATCACCTGGCTCCTGGCTTCGGATCAGCACGATGCACCAGCCGCAGTGCGCCAGCCGCGGCGGCCATTGGAGGGTGTACCAACGGCAAAAGGAAGACCTTTCTCTCTGTCTCTCTCTCTCTCACTGTCTACTCTGCCTGTTAAAAATAAAAAAATTAAAAAATAAATAAATAAAAAGAATTCCTGGCTCCTAGTCCTGGCCACTGCAGGCATTTAGATAGGTGCTTTCTCTGTTTGCCTCTGTGTCTCTGCCTCTTGACTATGATAAAATAATTAGTAATCTTAAAGAGATTCTGTGTGCAAGGAAGAGCAATCTACCTAAAGTACCCAAGTAACAGAGCAGAAAGTTGTTACATAACCTCAGAGAACACAGAAAAGGATGAAAAATTAAGACTTGGAGGACAGGAAACAGTCAAGTTCAGTAAATGTCTCCTCTTATCTCTTACGCCCTGGACATTTCTAGCGCGGCTTCTGACCGACTTCCTCTGCGTGCTTGGCTCGCTGCTTACAGGACATTTCAGCTGCAGCATGAGCAGCCTGCTAGCAACTCCCCCAAGTCTCCCCATCAGAGATACTCGGAAGACAAAGCCTCATTCTGAGCAAGTCATCTGCTTTCCTGGACAGCTGCAGGCAGGCCCATCTTGGGGAGGTGGCTACCTGTGGTTCTACCAGCTCTGACCAGTTTGCTCAGATTCCATGCATTTGTGCAGATTTTCTGAGGGAGGAGGGTGGGGGTTGAGCAGGGCATCCCACCTGAAACATGGCTACTACACAAAGAGAAGCAGGACTGGAGCCCAGGTCTCTGACTCCACTCAAATACCTACCCCACTTGAAGATGCAACCTCCTAAAGCCATAAAGCTCTTTTTATCTTTTGCACTGAAAAGTACCAGCAGCCACATAAAGGTTACAATCTTAAACTAAAACAACGTATATGTGTATATACATAAAGACTTGTATCTGGCCAGTCTTGTGGCATAAGGGGTTAAGCCACAGCATCCCATATGGGTGCTGGTTGGAGTCCCAGCTGCTCCATTTCTGATCCAGCTCCCTGCTAATGCGCCTGGGAAGGCAGCAGAAGATGGCCCAAGTGTTTGGGACCCTGCACCCACATGGGAGATCTGGATGAAACTACTGGCTCCTGCCTTCAGCCTGGCTCAGCCCCGGCCACTGAGGCAATTTGGGGAATGAAACGGCAGATGGATGATCTCGCTCTCTCCCTCTCTCTGTAACTCTGCCTTTCACATAAATGAATAAATCTTTTTTAAAAACATTTATTTATTTATGTGAAGGGCAGAGTTACAGAGAGAAAGAGAGAGAGAGAGAGAGTGTGTTCACTTTCCAAATGGCTGCAATGGCCGGAGCTGGGCCAATTGGAAGCCAGAGTCAGGAGCTTTCCCTGGGTCTCTCACACAGGTGCAGGGGCCCAAGGACTTGGGCCATCTTCTACTGCCTTCCCAGGCCACAGCAGAGAGCTGGATCAGAAGTGGAGCAGCCAGGACTCGAACTGGCACCCACATGGGATGCTAGCCACTGGCACTGCAAGAGGCAGTTGCACTCCCTATTGCACTGTGTGGGCCCCAATAAATAAATCTTTTGAAAAAAAGTCTGTAAACAGGACATGAACATGAAAAAATGAAGACTTCTGAGACAAAAACACTGCTGTGGAGAAAACGGGTTATATCAACCCAAAAATAAATTATTTCAAAACCTAGAAAAACTAGTGGCATAGGAGATACGTGAGAATTATCCTCTTATTCTTCTCCTAATTATGTTAACATATTCCTGTATTCAACCTAGGTCCACTATCAACCAGCAGGACAAACGTGCATCAGTGTGAACAGATTCCAAGTACGATAACCTACAACGATATTTCTCAGTAGAGGAGCAGATTCTCAACTTATCTAACACAAGCACAGGAGTCCACCCAGGACCACGCACCCCAGTAACTAAGTTACTGGAGTCCGATACGATCAAATAACGAAACGGAACAGCCCCAACTGCGACGAACAAATGACTCATAACACATTTCAAATACACACTCTGCAAAGAACAGGAAACGCATTTCCCCCGACATCTCAAACATTTATGGAGGAGCTTCGGAGGAAAAAATAAACACAAAGGTACATCTTGGGAGTTCGAGAGGACGAACACTCAGACACAAGACGCACTCCTGTCGCCGGGCACCACTGGAGATGGCACTCACTCAGGGCAGGGCCGGCGACCACCACGCAGCGCGCCGCAGCGAGCCGGGCACCCGCCAGGACCCGCACCACGCGGTCGTCCGTCTCCGAGTCAACGGAGCCCCCACAAAGGCCTCGGGCATCCGAGTGCCGCCACCGGGGACCGAGCCCGGGCCCCCCGCCCGCGGGGAGGCCGAGTCCCCCGAGCCGTGCGCCCTCGTCCGGCTCCCCTCAGCATCCCGGCAGCGGCCCGGCGTCCGCGCGCGAGGCCGAAGCGACGGCCCCGCAGCTCCCTCCAACGCTCTCGGCGCGCTAAGCCCCCGCACTCACCATCTCGATGATCTTGGTCTTCCGGCCCGTCTTCCTCTTCAAGGTGAATATGTACTGGGCCAGCACCACCCCCGCCAGCAGGGCGCACACGCTGGCGCTGGCTACCGCGCCCACCCTCGCCACGGCCGCGCGGTCCATGGGCCAGGCCCGCGGGCGCCTCCCGCCCGGAAAACAACAGGCCACTCACAGGCTCCGCGAACCTCGCAGGCGCGGGACCCGGGGGAGAAGCCCGCGCCGCCACGCCCCGCCCCGCCGCGCGAGCCCCGCCCCCAAGGCCGCACCCACGAGCGCCGAGGGGCGGGAACGGGGAAAGGCCCGGGAGGGGCGTGGCCTGCGCCGCAGTCCAGGCCCGAGGCCGGGCCAGACCCTGGGTCGGAGGAACCGCTGCGTTGACCGTCTCTCTCTGCTAAAGAGGACGAGGCAGTGGTTCCCACGATCCCCGGTCCGGGACGAACCTGATTTCTACTGAGAACCCCTCAGACAGGGTCCTGGCCCTGCGCGCCTCCGCCGCTCTGGACTACAAGCCCCAGAAGGCGCCGCGGCGCAGCGCCCGCCTTGCGCAGTGGCGTCGGTTGTAAGGCGCTATGACAACAGGCGGAGAGGGCTGGAGCAGGGCGCTGAGGGACCCGCCGCGGCTGTGGCTGTCCTGCTGCATCCCGCTCGCCGCCTGCCCAGTCATTTGCTTCTGTTAGGGAACAATCCTGCAGACTGGAGTTGCTGCCATAGGGCCACCTGCCCCTAAGCTGGATCCTCTCGTCTAATGCCAGACTGGTGGAAGAAAGCAGTTTTTTGCTACGCGCAGAACGAGTCTCACTACTAATACTCAATTTCTGAACCCCGCAGGGGATTACAGGTAGTGAGTCTTTGAGTTCAAAGTTGGGGGTGAGCCGTGCGTGATCAGTTAGTGTGTGTGCCTGCCTTTGGTTGGTTGGTTATAGGCTCCCATTCAGCATGTCCAGTTAGATATTGCGTATTATACAGTGTCCATTGTATAATGGAAAGACAGCCCCTTCACATTCATCCCATCAGTTTTTGTCCAAACTTTCACCCAGGCCTCTCAATTTATGTTCCTACTTGCAGACTTCACTGAGACCCCAGCAATAGTGTTTGCTTGGATAATG